GGGAAGGGACGGGGGCCAGCCCGCCATCATGACGAGGATAGCCGTGTCCCTTGTCCTCATTAGCTTATGGTCTAGTGAGGGGGACAGTCAATTACCAAATCGACAAATAGATAAACACCGTCAACAACAAAAATGCATCCCATCACTAGGTCTTTAAAATATGTAACGGGATGGTGTCGTAGAGATAACGCCGTGGGGGGACAGGCGTGTGGAGGTCGGGGGGTGGCGGAGGGAACTCACTTTAGGTTCAGGTCAGGGAAAGCTTCTTCTGAGGAGGTGACCGAAATAAGACCCAAAAGACAAGAAGGGACCAGCCATGCAAAACTTAGTGGGAAAAAGGTACAAAAGGCCGTGTTCACTTGGGTGCCATTTCTGTAAACTTTACAAACATGCAAAACAGTTCTGTGCATGGTTTTGAGAGAAATCCTTTCCAGTAGAAATGAGAAGCCCCCCTAAGCTTCAGCATAGTGGGCACCTTGGGAGGGAGGGAGGGATGGAGAACGAGTTAGAGGCAGAGATGGTCTTCAACTGCATCTAGGTCTTTTCTCGAAGCAAGAGGAGAGAGAAGTCTAGAACCAATATGGCTGGTGTAATTTTTGTTGGCTCTGATTGATAGGCACAGGGTTGTCAGCTGTGTTATTCTTTGTAGCTTCTGAATACTTGAAATATTTTGTGATTATTATTTTTTTAAGAATGGGGAAAAGAGGTTGTAGGCAGCAGACCCGATCAGTGTAAAGGCTCATCTCAGATCCTCGCTGCTGCAGGAACGTGAAGGGGGAGATAGAGGCCCGAGGAAGTTGGGAGGCACCAGGTCGTATGGGTACCAGGCAGGGACCAGGTCCTACGGCCTTGAGGGCTGTGACCACAAGTACAAATGTTGTTATTGTAAGTGTGGGGGATGCCGCTTTGAGCTGGAGAGGGACATGATCTGATTTATGTTGATGAAAGCCTCCTCCGGCTGCACGGGGAGAATCGATGGAGAGTTAGGAACGGCCCCAGGGAGGTTCGTCAGCATCTCTGATTGTCAAGAAGAGAGCTGAGGTGGCTCAGACTGGGGCGAAACAGGGAGCAGTGGAGAGAGGAGCGGTTTCAAAATCTGACTTGGAGGCCTTGCTGAGGGATTAGATACGGGGGACTGAGAGAGGGAGGAATGAAGGATGACTTTCTCTTTTTGTTTTGTCTTTTGAAAACAGCTTTATGGAGCTATAACTCACATACCACACAGTTCACTCATTTCTAGTGCACAATTCACTGGCTTTTGGTAGGGATGACTTGTTTTTGAAATCTGAGTGGATGGTGGTTTCAGATACCGTGATGGGATAAGTGGAGGAGGAACGGGCTCAGGGGTGGGGCCTGAGGTAAGTTTGAGATGCTCGTGAGACGTGAGACGTGCAAGGGGGGTGTCAGGTGGCAGTTAGGTATTCACGCAGGGGCTGGAGATGAAAGTTTGTGAGGAAGGAACAAATTGAGAGTGTGACAATGGATGTGAATCTCCACGGAGTACAGGTCAGGAAGGTGTGTGAGGGAAGGAAAGGAAGGGGGAGAGAGAGAGAAGGAAGAAAGGAAGGAAAGGAAGAAAGAAGGAAGGGAGGGAGGAAGGAAGGA